CCCCCCCCCCCCCCAAACGGGGAGGAGAGGAGCAAGGGGCCCAGGGTGAGAGGGGTGTGGGACAGGGTTGCCAGATGGTTTCAACTTGATCTTAGTTAGAAAATACTGGACATTTCTAGGTCCTCAGTGAGGTTCCCAGACAGAAAGCTCAATACGGGACTGTCCGGTGGTGACCCTTGTGGGGGATGGGAGCTGGGGGCGGTAAGTGGCTGGAGGCTGGATCCATTCTAATGTGACTTGGCCCAAGGCACTCAGTGATTTTGGGGGTTCCTGGCTAGATTACCTATTACATCCAAAGGGGGCTCTGGTTTGTAAGGGTATTCTCCTGGTAGCTGTGGAGGGCGAGGGGCCCTCGAGTCCATGGCTGCCCCAGGCCTCCTGCCAAGGGACCCCATGCCAAGGGAGGGCTTATCTGCCCCCCAAGCCTAGTTCCCAGCGCCAGTTTGGGAGGCTGGGCTGCGGGCTGAATTCCTGTACCCCAAGTGGCACAACAGATCTGGGAATGGTTGTGGGTTGTCCTTGCCAGAGCCCCACGCAGCTGGGGTCAGGAATGAGACAGAAAATTGTTGTCTTGCCTCTGTGTGACTCTCTGGGGCACCCGTGCATCCAATGCTGCGTGCAGAAGTGGGTCCCAGCCCAAAACAGATGTTCAGGAAAGGGTGGGGGTTAGGGGCCCCGGCCATATGCAGAGAGATTAACAAGACTGGGCCCTTGCAATTTAGAGAGGCGGAGACTAAGGGCAGGTAGCTAGGGTGGGCAGGGGGAAAGTGAACACAAGTGTTTTACTTCTCCCACAGCAGGGGAACTAGGGGTCACCAAATGAAATTAATAGGCAGCAGGTTTAACACAACGCACCGTTAACCTGTGGAACTCCTTGCCCGAGGATGGAGGACAGGTCCATGGCTGGCTCGTCCCAGGCTGGCCAGGGATCACTGGATATGGGGCTGGGACGCGGGGGGCTGCGCTGGAGGAAGTGACCCCCCCCCCGCTCTGGCCAGCTGGGCC